AAATATCTAATTGTCATCATTACGTCATTAGTCATTACATATCTGTCATTATACGTCAATTGCATAGCTGTTTAACACAATTGGTGTTTCGTTATTCCACGTTTTATAGTGACTGACGTTTCATGTCAAGTCCCACGGGAATGCTGTCGAACGGGATTAAAAGTATCCTATTGCAATTTGATGGCTCTAAACTACCTCCCTGCCAATTTTCAGCTAAATCGGTTCAGCCGTTCTTGAGTTATAAGTGGGGTAACTAACACGACTTTCTTTTATATATATAGATGTGTCTGTGAAGTTTAAAAATGTTATATAATTAACTTACGTATAAGCTTGTTTAATATAAATAAGTTAAAATAAACCTTCACCAAACTTTGAGGAAGGTAAGAAGGTGGGGTGACTGCGGAAAAGGTGTATATTGGCCTTATTTACAGAAACCCTGCCTTCTAATTAATGATGAAATCATAAAATTAATTACTAAAGTAAACAGTTGTTTAATTCCAAAATTTATTCGTTTAAATTGCAAAAAAGATATTTATATAAAATTTACAAAGTTAGTGTTGAATCTGGCCGTGGCCTTAACCTACACAACAGAAATGTAAAGAGGTTGTTGAATATTCGCATATTAAAAATAATAACATAACATCCGACATCCATCTCTATTCTAATACAATATAATGCATTATTTAAAACTTCATAGTAACATCTATCATTTTTATTTCATAACATAATATTAAGTTACTGCTCATTCCTCTAATGTCTCCATTACTCTAAGTGCGCCTCATAAGTCTTGAAAAAATACATTCTTAGTAAAAGCGCATTTGAGATACAAATTCAAAAAATACATAATCTATGATATTTTTTCTTGCAAATATCAAAGTAGTGCCATTTAAAAAATATTTTTCTTTGTTTTAAAATGAAGTAGGTATGTTAAGTATTGAACGTAAGTAAAAGAAAGTGTATTGTGTTAAAACTGCTTTTTTAAGTGTTGAAAACATAAAAAAGAAGCAATTTTTAGTTTCAATGAGAGTAAATAATTTGGTTACTGGAAAATTATTTAAATAGTCCTATATAAAAAAAAATATTTATTTGAATCAAATTTAAAACGATTAAATATTCTAGATATATTACTATTGAGTTACAATATCGTATATCACATGTATAGTTTTAATTTATTTTGGTCCAGAGTTAATTAATAAATTGTAAATTTTATTCCCATGTCACCAGAAGCTAAAACTGGAAATGGTAACTAAATTTTAAATTTAACATAATTTAGGTGACATTGTAAATTGTGCATACCAAGCTATGAATACTATAAGCAAAATATGCTTTGCATATTTAGCTATTTAGAATTCAATGCATGTACGTATCTGTTAGTTATGTATGTGTTCCTACAGAATTATGTAATTTACATGCTTGCATTTATAGCTTTATTGTTAAGGGAAAACTTTGCTATAACTTGGCGATTCAATAGACTGAGATAGGAAATTAATTGAATTCCTCCTGGTAGTTTTGGTTTACCGTCTTAATTTGTTCCATAAAGTCGCAAAAGTTTTACATAGAATTCTCTTATTCATAACCAATAATTCAAACAAAATATCTTATTTTATGGCAATCTGAAATTTATTTCATTACTTGTGTAATAATTATTATGATACAAAATTTTTATTTCCCAAAAAAACACTTTATGAGCAGCATGGTCTTCTTTTACCATAGCAATTATTAATAGAAATTTATTTCAATTGGACTTCTTTCTATGAAATGAAAATCTTTGTAAGCGAGGAAGAAATGGAGATAGATGGAACATTTAGTGTTGTAGGATATTATTTAAATTAAAATTTAACTTTTGAACTAATAACACTGAAGAAGTAATTATTTTAATAGGAAAACGTCTCCTTAGATTTAATTGCAATAATCTTTCATAAAACTACATACAACACTATGCGACGTCGCGTAGTGAAAAAAGGGAATGTTTATTTGAACTTCAATTTACCGTTTTAATCAAATTAGATTTGGTTTAATGATCTTCAAAGATGATTCATAATTTACACAGCTAACCAAAACTCTACAAATGCCATCTGGATTCAGCACGGGTCATTTCTGTGTCACTAAACTAACTGAATCTCAGATTCACAGATATTTAACCTGTAAGAGTATTCCTCTCTATACTCTCTGCAATATAATTGAATTGATGGTGTGCTAACAAGTGAATTTAGTTGCTAGTCCAAGGACAAATAGTCAAGGAACTACAAAAATGCAACAATTAGTTTTTTAAAGAATAAAAGTTTTTAGTGTTTAAAAATATATAAAAACAAACGATTTGACACTGAGTGTTCTTTAGTGTAAAATTGCAAAATACATGGATATGTAAAGATAAATAAAACGTGTGTTGAAAAATATCACTTGAACGGTACAGAATTTAACATCTTACCAAAAAAAAAATCTAACTCCTAAAACAAATGTATTGCGATAATAATGATTATGTAAAATTTGGGGCAGACCACAATTAAATACAACTGAGACAAGACGTCAGAATTCACTTCGTGAAAATTAAAGTGATAGGAGTATATAGATAAAATTGATTAGTATTATAATAATAAAAATTAAAAGTAATAAGCTAGTATAAACGGCGGCGATACTATGAAATGTTTAAACATTAAAGTAACTAATAACGCGAATTTCTACGTAATTCATAATATCACAGAAAACACTTCTTCAAACGGAGAACCAAATAAATGGCACAATATTTGGAACCTAAACATTTTAAAGTAATAAATTTCATTAGCACGATAGAAACAAATTGTAATTAGGTGACAATGTTATGCCTAACGAGGTGTTTTTGTTAATTGGGGGAACAAAACTCTCGAATAAAATATATACGTGACACGTCTGAGCATAACAACAAAGTCTAATTAGAAAAGGTCTTTAAACACTCTATTATTAATTACCTTGAACCTGTTTCAAATAAAATTATGTGTAATACCACACAATAAATATATACATATTTCAATCTCTGTTTCAAACTCTTATAAATTATTATATACAGGGTGACTGGTGAATTACTATCAATATTTGAGGAGAGTACTCGGTACATGATTCTCATCCGAATTATGTAAAAAAATAGGTACTTAATTTTTGACCAAATTTCCGTATAAATAAATAAAGTGTTGACACGTTCCAAGTGTTCCAAGTGTGGACGCGTGCGGCGGCGTGCTGATACAACAACACGCCGCAGCGCGCGAGTGTGTGTGTGTGTGTGTATACCTAATCTGTAGGGTGTTCATACGATGCGTAATTAATTACATAACTTTTGGTTAACTTTACTTAGAAGTTTATTAATATTTATGTTATATTAATTTTTGTTTTGTCATATATGATCGTCAAATACCACGTCCTCAAATATCGATAGTAATTCACCAGTCACCCTGTACAATTGTTATTTTTGATTAGTTCAACAAACTACATATATTATATAAGTGGGAACATCACCAAGATTGTGTAATGGTGATAATAATATTTATAAGACATATTGTTTTAGCATTTTTAATGATTGCAAATAAAATTATATTTAAGTTTAACATACCTACTGCAAAAAAACATACACGGGGAGTAAATATCTAAAGTTGATGCCTTAGATTAACAGCTATATGAGTAATATTTCTTTGTAAACCGAATTATTGCAAAATTAAAATAATCCTTAAAACCCCTTCACCTAGAAGAAAGTTACGAGGTATAACACTTAAAAAAATATTTAAAATATACAGACGAACTCATAACCACGTCTTTTTTTGAAGTCGGTTAAAAACATTACGAATAAGACGTAATTTAACTTTGAAACATCAAAATTTTAAGAATTTATATTATTGCAATATTGAATTACTAGTTTCAGAGACATTCTTTTATTATCCTGAATATTGTGATCAAAATAGATTGTCATTTAACAGTCAGCGACATCTATCCTCTTCGCCGCGTATTTTATTACCAAGCATAATTGCTCTTATGTGATCTCATAAAAAATTACGCAGACCGAATAGTTTAATTTCGAATTAATTTAGAACACTTTATGTTGTTCTGATGTTTAAGCTATCTTATTTTAAAGTTTCGTTAAAATCTGTTTTGTATATTTTACGTGAGAGCAACAAACATCCATAAATCCAGCAAACCATACCATACATCCTTATTAATTTCATTAACTTATTTGATTTTTCTTCCTTAAAACTGAAGAAATGTCTTCCTTCTCAAATTTATATTTTTATTACTTTGAAAGTACCTTTTTTACTATTAGCACGATTACAACTCAACATTATCTAACCAATAGAGGTGTTAATGCTTTCCAACTCCGAATACATTCGATCAAGGGGATGCAATTTCATGATATCGCCGTTCCGGAAGAACAGTGACGTAAATGCAAAAATGGGTCAAATGCAAATAAGTCCATAGACAAGGTCAGAAATACATCCCGCACACAAGGGAACATAGACGTAACAGTAGTTCCATCAAAACCGCCAGAGGGCAAGTTGCGTCTCGGTCGAAATACCACGTGTTTGTTACCTCCTCCAATGGAACAACGCCACATGGGTCAGTTACGTTCTTGATACACGTGAGAGTAGTTGTGTTCTGTGCCACAGTGACGTAAGTGCAACATCAGACAAGAACCAGGATTGACTTCCTCTTGATTCTAGCGCAATAACGACGTAAGTGTACTTTTTGTCATTGTACCTTTGATTTTTAGGAGATATCCGTTAGCATAACTGTTCTTTTCGCCGTTGTTGAACGTATGAATTTGTGTAATTCGGTTTTTAATGTCACTGTTGACTTGAAGGCAATTTATAAATTTGAATTCATAATGATGAATCTGAGGATGAAAATGTATATTTTACTTGAAATAATTAGTAATGTTAATTATTTAAACGTTACTGATGGTTAAAAAAAGTTAGTTTGTTATTTTCGAGGTTCAGTTTAAGGTTTAGAGGTTCATTTGAGATTTTTTTTTTAGGGCTAAAATGAGCGAACGGACCAAGAAAATTTTGCGGCTTGCTCGTGAAATAATGAGTAAGGAAATCGATGAGGTGAATTTTTCTTCTTCTGTGTCAAATGACAATGAAATGCCTGCACCCTCCATACAGGTCAGTAATATCAGTCATGATCAATCCAATCATGAATCAACCCAGTGGAATGTTGTGGAGTCAACTCCGACAACTATGCATTTGAAAAAATTGGAGTCTTCTGAGCACGGAACCACTTCGGATGAATCCGATGACGTCGTTTCATCAGGTTCAGGCGAAATGTATGATCCATCAAGTAGTGATGAATCTTCGGACAGCAATTTATCTCCTTCTTCCCCAATTACCTCCACTACCAACAATGCCGAAACCCAGCTAGATGAAACACAACTCCATGAACCATCTCCAACAGTGAGGGGAAAAAAAAGAACAAGAAATGTCGAAAACTGGTGCAAAGTAAAAGCTAAACTGTTGAGGAACTCAGGAAAAAGTTATACAGGTAGAACAGGAAAAACTGTACCCCCTCGAAAGATGGGTCCTTCTTGCAAGGATAAATGTATCCTGTCTTGTTCCAAGAAATTCACAGAACAATACAGAGTTCAGCTGTTCACGGATTATTGGGCAATGGGTTCGATACAACGTCAGCGGGATTTTCTCAGTGCATGTATTGAGAAACTTGCTCTGAAATATCGTCGCATAACTGCCCAAGAACCTCGAAAGCCAAATTGTGCTTTTTATCTGAGGGATACTAATACAAATAAGGTTCGAGTATGTAAAACCTTCATAATAAATACTTTGGGGATAAGCGAAAGAGCAATCCGTACAGTAATCGGAGCCACATTGAGTGGAACTGGAATTGCTTCTTTGGAAGACAAAAGAGGTAAACATACCAATCGTAAGAAGATAGACGAAGAAATTTTGATTTCAGTCAGGAACCACATAAACTCGATCCCCCGTTTTGAGAGGCACTACGTACGAAAGGACACAAAGAGAGAGTTCATCGATGGTGGTTTAACCATAGCAGATATGCATCGTCAGTATTCTGCCGAACGATCTGCAATTAATATGCAACCGGCAAATTATGATACGTATGCACGGATATTTAACAACGAATTTAATATAGGATTCTTCCTGCCGAAGAAGGATCAATGTGATCAATGTGAGGCGTACAAAAATGCTGTTAATGATGACAAGAAGGAACTTGAAGACGCTTACCACCTACATCAGGAGGAAAAAGAATTAAGTCGACTTGAGAAAGCAGCGGATAAAGAAAAGTCCCAAAAAGGAGAAATCAAGTTAGCTGTTTACGACCTACAAGCAGTGTTGCCAGTACCGATGGGGCAAACATCAGCTTTTTATTACAAGTCACGACTAAATTGTTTCAATTTCACAGTAAGTATCAGCAAGTGTTCCATTCACAGTAACTTACTGCTTCATAATAATAATAATAATAAATTACTTCCTACTGTCTAAAACGTGTCCAAACTGTTCAATTTTTTCTTTTTGCAGGTAACTGAAATCGGAAGCGACAAGACCGTGTGCTTCTTTTGGCATGAAGGACTTGGGCACAGGGGTGTTAACGAGATAGGAACTGGCGTTTACAAATATCTCGACGCGTGTTCAAGTAGCAGCCCTGGGCAAGACGTTGTATTGTACTCAGACAACTGCGGGGGCCAACAGAAGAACCGGTAAGCCTCAGATAGTACAAACAAAATTTGATTTGAATACCTAGCATAAACTTTAATTCTTTCAAGCTTTTGGCTATGAAGGAAAACTTAATTAACTTCCACTGTTGTTGTAGGTACATGATCGCTCTATACTTGTACGCAGTTGAACATCTTGACATCCAGTCCATTACGCACAAGTATTTGATTCGCGGTCATACGCAAAACGAGGGAGACGCAGTTCACAGCATCATAGAAAGATCTTTGAACAGAGCAAAGAAGTCAGGCCCTATTTACGTGCCCGATCAATACGTTTCACTGATCAGAAACGCTAAAAAAAAAGGAAACCCTTTGCACGTCAACGAAATGAGTTTTGGAGATTTTTACGATTTTAAAGCACTTTATGAGGAGATGGTACCAAAACTTGCCAAAAACACAAATGGGGATGATTTTAAACTTCAGGATGTAAAAATCTTACGATTTCAAAAAGGAGAGGACAAATTTTTTTATAAAACCAGCTATAAACAGGAAGAGTGGATTGAGGTTGAATTTAAAAAAGGGAAGAGCCGATCTTCAATCACATCTGCCATCACTTTAAAACCGGCTTATACAGAAAAAATCGCGCTAGCAAATAATAAATTACGCGATTTGAATACCCTGTTCATGAAAAATTTGATTCCTACGTTCTACAGATCTTTTTACGATTCCCTGAAGTGAAAATGTTGTTCTATCTTGTATCTTTTTTTTCATACATTCTTACATTTTATACATTCCAATATTTAAAAAATTTGTAAGTATGTGATTCTGTTTACACGTTTATTATAATATTTTTTCACCACTTTGGATTTTTTTTCCCTTTCCAACTATGTACTTTAAACAGTGTGCCTTACTTGAGTTTAGTTTTAATTCAGTGGCGAAATTTGGATAACATTGCTGAGAGAATCAACATTTACGACAGTTTGTGCCTTCTACGATTTTAAGAGAAACAACGACGTAACTGTATTTAGGGGTGGGAATTTAGGGTTGAAATTGGAGTGATTAAATCCTAATCCCTGGTAAATGAAAGTTGAGTATATATTCTACATACTCTCAACATACCATTATTTTATGTCACATACAGCGTTTTCAATTGTACGTTTTATACAAATGCAAATCGTTTTTTCACTCCCCTGTAAAATATAAAATTTTGCATTTACGACACTGTTCTTCCGGAACGGCGATATCGCGTCGTGACACAGATTCGATGTACAATTTCAGATTCAACCGATGATACTTGATCGAAATTGTATAGATTTAAACATCGTATAAATTTATTGTAACGCCTCCGTTTCAATAACGACATCGGCAGCTTTGAGTATTGAACCTTGTTAGTGCTTTGTTAAATTTTAGTAATACGAAGCAAACTATTTATAGAATTATGTTGAAAAAAAAAAACAAATTTAATCATATAATCACATACATTTTCAAACGGCTTTACGATTATTAGAAATAATTACAATTTAAAGTCAAAATTTGTTTACATATTACAGGTTATTTATAAGCAAAAAATAATATTCACTCATCTTTTATGTGATTCTAATATAAAGACTACGGAATGCAAATAAAAAATTTAGGACTAGTTCAAAAATAGCTTTGATGCCAACTAACGCTTTGTAGTTGCGCAACTCAAGCTTCGCTCCAATGTGATTACGGTCGCCAAGCGCTAACTAGAAATCGTAGAGCGATTTACTTGCATCAAGAACAGGCAATTTGACGACTTTGTTAAGTTTCTGTGTCTACAGTGTAATGAAATAATAGGTTTCAAAAACTTAAACATTTAACATGGTAATAGAAAGAATATAATAGGTATAAAGATAGATGATAGAGCAAACTTTAAAACTACATATACATGAAATAATTAATTAATTATTTAAACGGTCTATATTGTTTCATTTTAAAATAGTAACACATACGTAATATTTTTTATGGTTCGTAACTTTGAGCAGAGTTTCATTAAAATTGATATTATAAAAAGCGTTCATATAGTATTCAATACCGGAAGCTTTGTCGTTAGAACAAAAACGTGATTCAGAAATGGAAGGAATATAATATTACATTTTTAATAAAAATTGTTTATTGTTATTTTAAGATAAAATCATTAATTCACGAGGAAGAATAATACACAATCTTATTTTTTTTAATTAATAAAATATTATTAAAAACCAACATTTTAGTGTAAATAAGTTTTCGTGTATTTTGCTAACTCAGAAATCATATTTAGTTTGCTTAGTATTATTCCTAGTTCACAAAAGGCAAGAACCATACATCAATATACATATAAACCAACAACAGAGCAGAAAATAATCGCGGATGTTCACACATAGTTCACTCTAATGAAGCGTTCATTTGCACATCATGCAGGGCTATGACTTTATAAAAACGTTGTTTTTACAAAAATAAATGTCAATTATACTTATATTTAAGATCAAATGGTTGGTACTGCATACATAATACATATAGACATACATTCTATTAAGTATTTGGCTATTTGTCTATATTCCCAATGTCTAAGCCACATGTGCCAACCCTGCAATACAACATGGCTGCCCAGTGTACCACAATGACAATAAACCACATATAATTGAATGCAGAAGCTATGTCCATGTTTAGTTAATTCCTAGGTTGATTACAATAGACTTTTTAATAACATTTGTTTTTTTATTATATGTCTATTCTAAAACTTACTTTGGATCCAATAACGATAGAAAATGGATAGAAAATTGATTGATGGTATTGAAATTATGTATATATGGAGTTAAACTACTGATATGGATGTCTAAATCCTTTGAGAAATGAACACAAAGAGAGCGACAACTAGAAGTGGAGGTACATCCGTACTTCTTCGAGGAAGCAGATAAAGTTTTTCAAAACAACACGGGGCTAACTAACGGACTATTGTCTGGTAGAGAAACAACAGCAATATCCATGTTAAATTTTTGTCTTTATTTGACTTTGAATGGTGGAGGGTCATATTTTTTAAGTTAATGTGGGTCTATTTTTCTTAAGTACGCCCTTATAGATTCGTATTAGTCGCGAGAGTCTTAATGGGTTAATTAAAATTATAAGAAAACAACAAAGTAAATGAAATTTGCTGAAGAGAAGCAATGTCACAGTAAAAAGGTTTTGAAATTATATACAAATACGTAATAAAATAAAGGCTTTTTGATTACTTCAATAGGAAACTCTAATAAATCATTGGCAATTCACACTAATAAAGTAAATACAAAGTTTTCTTTGATATATTAAAGTACTGCAATGTATTAAGTAAAATGGCTGATATTGAAAAGAACGGGTCTTTTTTTAAACCACGATATTTAGCTGACATTAAGGCTGAGAAAAGTAAAACCGTGAGCGATAAACTCAATTATCACACATACTGTTTTAAAAAACTTAAAATTCTCAGTTTCCCCATTTAGAAAATCAGTCCTTTTTTAATTTCTCTGTGAGACCCTGGAGTTGTAAATTTCCATGACGCAGAGGTATTTCGTATTAAGTAATTTAATTTATATTCATTTAGCAAAACATATGTAAATATTTAATTTTTGCCACGATTTTAAAAACGTGTATCTCATGAAACTGAAAAACCAGAGCGGATTTTAATGCTTTTTTGTGATACCTGGGGCGTAAATTATTTCGGTAACACTTTAATTCATTCAACAGCACGGAAACCGCGGGTCGGCTTTTAAAACCTTTTTCAATTCCGTAATAAAAAAAATCAAAATTGTAGCATGTTACTTAATATAACGTGATTTGTTTTGTAAACTGAAACATATAACTTATCCAACAGCTTATTTGTACTCAGTATTATTACAAAAGTATGAGTAGTACTTAATTTTGTTAAGGTGATTAAATTTTCTCTACAATCGTTGACTATTATGTTAATATCATTTCTTTTGAGATCATGTGATAATCTGCACATTAAAAAGTATAAATTATATACATATGACAGTCAAAATATTCTTCTTGTATATTGAGGTGGTGTGAAAAAATGCGATACAGATATACATAGAAGTTACTTCAAAAAGTTTAATGGTACTTAAATCAATATTTTTACATTTCATCTGTTTTCTTTCTTTGCTTTATATCAAAAATTATATAATGTTAAGTAGCGGAACATTAGCGCAACTAATGCATTGAATGGAAACAACTAAGATATTTATTAGGAAAAAAACGGATGGCAGTAAAAAAGACATAGAACAATCAATTTATCTAAGTGTTTCTTTTTTATATAAAGTAAACATAATGAAAAATGAACACACGAAATTTAGGTCAAAAGAGGCGTTCGTAATGAGCGAAACAATTTATTTTTTATCTTTCATGTTGATTTATTTAGCAATCATTTCTGTATAAATATGTCATTAAAATGATTAGGTTTTAAAATTTTTGGGACAGGGCCTAACAACTTAGGTTAGTTTCTTTTATGAGCTTCTGTAGTGTTTATATTCTTTTGCTTTGCTTATGTCGCTATTTAGTTACATCAATTATTAACTTACCTTTGGTAAACTATCGATGGCAACTTATCAATACATCTTTTTTTGACGCGGAAGAAATAGAATAACTTACCTGAAAAAAATAAAAAAAATCATTACAATATCATGTTGTCATCTTAAAAGGGATAGCGGTCAATGGGTGATGGTATTTACTGTTATAATATTATATGTATATGTTGTAATTTTTTTTACGTGACTTTTACTGTGTGAACTTCAAAATTGCGATCAGAGAGAAAAGTATAAAATTAATAAAATTTTAGTAATCAAAAAGCAGCGATATCAATAGCAGGTGTCGCGTGACTTCAAATACAATTGAACCTTTCCGCCATAATGTCTCGGGAACTACGTGAGTTTTTAGAAAAATTCTATTCTTCATCTTATTCTGATGTCAATGCTACAATATTACTACAATATTTTATCAAAAACCCTTACGTAATTTTTGCTTCAAAGATTGCGAAGTAGACTCAAGTAGAAATACACCCTTACAACCAAACATCCA